GCTACCTTCCTAAAATGTACAGTCGGACAGGGATTACGATATACAGACTGGCATCTGGATCTACGACCACAAATCGGAGCAATTGCAGTCGGGTTCTGCTGCATGTTTGCCACTTATTGACAGGTTGACAGATTTATGGGATTCCGTTCCTTGCGGTAGACTAGAATTGGTCAGGCGTAAAGACTACCGAGGGTCGCATCATCGCTATTGCTAACAGCGCTAGAGGGCTCTTGCGTGTAGTCATGTGGGCGTGCTATGTTTTGGCAGCAGAGAGCATGTCCTATGCTGGTACTTTGCTTCTGCACTGCAAAGTTGTGAAACAGTGCAACACATCCGGAATCTGTCCCTCCTGGGTCATTGGTGCTCGAGGTTCGCAGCCGGCTGATTCAGACAGAAACCGTCGCACTCACCCTTGCCTGAAGTCGGAGTCTGGCATGCCCTCGTCCTTGTGCTTCATCGCTCCTGTGCATGTGTGCCAGTAGCTGTTTTGAATAATCGGTCACAGGTTTGAGTTAGCCGCATCGCACGTGTTGAGAATGTTGAGGCAAACAGCAAGTCGAACTGTCGGCACTGATTCCGACCTTGTTTCAGCAGTGAATGGGAGATATGAGTTTCCCTGGCAGGGCCCAAATCCGGGTCGTGCCTGAACTAGAAAGGTATGACAGCTTCGACATTCTCTCTGATGAGGATCGCGTTTGCGACAGTGCAACTGTGCAATCTTCCCTGACTCTCCCAGCATGAGCTGCCAGGAGGTTCGACAAGGACTCAAGGAGTACTCCAACTGGCCGACGTACCCACAGGCTGATGTCATCGGCTGTCTGCTGTGTTGGGTTGGCTTCATGCATGCTGGAACAAGAGCGAGTGTGAAGGTCTATGCTGGAGGGAAGTTGGTTGGTGGATTGGACATTCTGAAGGCAGCTGAGAGCAGGGCTGAGAGACTGAGAGCATGTCGGAGCCAGTCCATGCGATCTCAAGACATCGCTCCAGGAACTCGCTGATGAAGGCTCTCTGCTGGAGGAACTGGCGCCGTGAGCTCCAGCGCAGACGTGCGCATACCCGGCACAGACCCGCATAGACCTTTAACGCCACGGCCGCCGTACGGCTTCAAAAGGAGTCGCTGTTTTAGTTTTCCCCTTGCATCGGCTTGAATGCTTCTTTTCGCGGCTGATCGTGCCAATGGCCATTGCATTGTCACACCGCGTGGACTGTGCAGCCACGAAGCTGCTTGCAATGCGAAGCTCATACGCACTTTATTCATCACCGACGAAGTATCAGCTTGGCGACATAATTAGTAGTGTTATTCTCGTGTCGCGGCGGATGTTGCGGTAGGTTCCATCGTAAGTTAGCTTTTGTGAGCTTGTGCCTATGCAACAGCCAGCAACATCAAGAAGCCAGACTTACAGAGCATTGGCATTTTTTGCTTATTTTAGCATGCAGTTCCAGGCTGGGAGTGCCAAGCAAAGTCCGGTTCAGGGAGTACTTACCTCCGACGAGTCTGCACATGTCTTCTGCTCTCACACTCGTCCTGCTTGAAGGGGTTCAGCCCTGGCGTAAACAGTGGCCAGGACCTTAGACTGTCGGGACTGCCTCCGCGCAAAAGTGGTGCCTCTCGACCCAGGCTGCGCTGGATGTGGGTGCAATGGAGCGTTTCCACCTGCGATGAGCAAAACTGGCTGGTTTTTGACTCGTGTTGTGACTTTTGCGATGGCCTGGGGCTTGCTTGACGTGGGGCATGTGCATTTGTCTGCAGGTCCGCCCGTCAATGCTCGCGGCCCGGACTTTTGTCATCCTGATCGAACGGTCAGTGATGGGTTGTATAGTACTGCAAGTAGTCACGCCACACTGGCACAAGTACTAAGATTGAAGGGTGGTGGCATGCAAGGTTTCGTCGGGCCTCCAGACTAGGTCACTTAATATTGTGGACAATTAGACCTCCGCTAGAACCAGGAGCCGCCAGCACTAACCGTTGACACTCGGAAGCTGGCAAAAAAGCTGTTCGGCCATGCTGTGCATGACTTGGAGGCCGGAGCTGGGGCATCTCCGCAGGCATCACAAGCTCCGCTCTTGCGAATCCGGGCCGGCATCGAGGCACTTCTTGCACCTCAGCAAAACCTCACTAGTGACTGAAGTGCAATGTGCCTCCTGTCTGGGGGAAGTTTGCACCTCTTTACTCTTCTGATGATCTGATGCTTTCGCACCCGACCAGCATGCAGTAAGCTGGTGCGGTACTGTACCTGACGGAAGCCTTCCGAATGACAAGAGCCCTCGCGCTGCCTTCAGAGGGCGCAGAGCAGGGTCATGGGGAGCAACCTTCACAGAACAGACGAGCCCCGCACTTCTTCCATTTAACTTCGTGCTGGGCGACTGACCTCAGCATGCGGTACTTTCATGTTGTTTGCCAGCTACATCCAGCAACTCCGTTCTGCGCAGCAAAAAACGACCTCGAACGTCCACAAACACCTCCCCGGCCCCAGAAACGGACAGACAGACAGACAGACAG